AGGGAGCACTCACAGCAGCATCCTTCTGTGCCATCTTCTGTGCCACAGAGCATCCCGAAGCAGACAAGCAGCAGCCCTTCCTTCTTCCTGCTTGTGTGGACCTAGCTGGTCTTCTGAAGTAGTTGAGCTTGGAGAAAGACCGCAAGCTGGGATACCCCCGATGCTCTTGGAGTCTTTGCTGTAAACTGCTCATTTACGCCATGGGGATAAAATCCCAGATGAGAAACAGCCACAATCTCTGGCAGATCAGGTTGAGCCCTCTGACTTTCAAAGATTCCCCTGCTGTCAGTCAGTTGTTATTCTGATGGCCCCATCTTTACACTTCCTGCTGTTTCTCTGCCAGTTTGCAGAACACTTGGCCCTGTATTTTCACGGTTTAACTGTAACTTTTTCTGCCCTGTGTATCTGGTCTTCTACAATCCTCTTGTATCTGTCTGGATATGCGTTTCTCTCCTTAAACTGGGGGACATTCTTGCTATGATTGGTTGAGAATATTTTCTCCGCTGTTGGAATGGATTTCTCCTTCTATGAAAATATATTTCATGGTGTTCCAAAGGTCATACGTGGTTTGTTCATGGATTTTTCAATTTTTAATGGTCTTTCCTGACCAAATCCTCCAATTCCTCTAAATTGTCTTCAGTTCCTGACATTCTCCCCTCCATATGATCCGCTCTGATAGTGAGTCTGCTCTGAGCATTTGGTTTAATGTATTTTTCATCTCTAGCTTCATTTAAATCAAGGTTTTGCTCAGTATTTCTCATTATTGAATTCTATTTTCATGCTCTGTGTTGACCTATCTTTCATTCAACTAATTGTTTGAGTCCCCATTTTTTTGGTCACATTTACATCATCCTTTTGAATTCTTCATTTGGAACTTTATCTAAGTCATTATCATGAAGGCTGTAGTTCTGGGGTTTATTTTTTTTTAGAGCAGACAAACTGTCTTCGTTTTTCACATAACCAAGCTTTCTGTTTGAATTTTATTAGATCAGTAGTTGGATATTCTTTTGTATATATTTACCTCCTTACTTATTTTATAATTGGAAGCAGTCGGGTGGGCTTTGAAGGTTCTGATACATGGGTTGGTCAACAGAGGTCAGGTGAACTTGGATGTCTAAGACTCAACAGGGGGAATGCTAACCTCCCTGGGTGAGTAGGTGGGTAGACAGCTGGCAACTCTGACAGGCCACACAGTGCGTGGGCAAGAAGCCTGGCAGGCAGTGAAGCTGGGGGACCTGAAGTCTCTGAGGCACAGGAAATCACCTCATGGGTGGGTAGTGGGTACACAGGGAGGTTGGCAGCTACCAGCACTCATGAAGTAGGGAGTTGGTCAGGCGAGCTCTAAATAGTGATTTGGAGACAATATCCTACAGTATAACCCTGGTGGCTTAGTACATCACTGTAATGTACTTAGATGCTGTGAATTATGTTCTTTGGAGTCTGTTCTCCTCATGGCTGCCCTTGCTTCTAACAGTACTCTTTCTTTTTTTTCTTTTTAAAATTTTGAACTTTATTTAATTTAAATGCTTGCCATGAAGAAAGCTAACATTTGTTGATTAAAATAAAAGTGCATCGTTTATCCCTGCCTTCTCCTCCCTGCAGTCCTTCCCATACCTCCTATTCCCTTTCAAATGTATGACTGATGAGTCTACATTACTGTGACATGTCTAAAAAAATAAATATGTAGGTTCAACCTGCTGCATTTAGTAGAGTTTGTGTAGATAGATATACAGATATTCGGATAGATATATAGGTAGATAGGTAGGTAGGTAGATAGATAGCTAGATAGATAGAAGATATATAAAGACAAACAGATATGTATTAGGGTTTAACATTAGGGATTGAATGATCAACTAGGGAGCTCCTTTCTGGGTGAGACTACCGTCTCTCTGCAGCTTTTTAGCACTTGTGGCTCTTCATCAACGTGTTATACCCACGCAATTTCCGACATTCACTGTGGCACGTCAACTGTTGGTGTCAGGGTTCAGGTCTTGTGTCAAAAGCCATAGTGTTGAGGTTTCATGGGTATCTTGGTCATATCCAGAAGACTCAGCCTTGCAGCGGACTGTGTGATCTTCTGACTCTTGTGTCGTCTGCACCCTCCTCCTCGGTGTTTTCTCTCTCTTAGGTTAAGGCTCAAGCCATCAACCGAGGCTGGGCACCGCAAAGTCAGCTGTTCTCTGCTTTGTGACCAGCTGAAGTGAGAGGCTTTCTGAAGTGATCTCTCACTGCTGTGAAAAGAAGCATCTTTGGTGGTGAGCAAGAGCTCCATGTACCTGTGGGTATAAAGAAAAGTATTTAGAAAACAGTTAAGAATGTTCTGGGATAGGAAAGTGGCCACAGTGGATTCTGCTCTGAGATCTGTGACCCCTCACTAACAGCACACGGTGGTTGGTTAGGTTTTCAGTTACCAGGCACGATTTTCTTCTTCTTCAGCCAGCGTAATGAACAATTAGACAGATGTGAGTCACCACCAACACACAAATGCCACCCCTGCACCTTTAGTTACCCCAGTGTGATGATCATCACTGTGGCTCACGGGAGTCCCAGCTGGGTAGGATTACGGAATGTTCTCCTCCCTTGGAAACTCTCACAGCTCCTTCTGTTGTTAGGGAGCTGGGCCTTAGGGAGGAGACCATGGATCATATACAGCTTGATTTCTATGCGTCCTTTATCTGAAGTGTCCTGTGTCTTCAGCACATAGCCTTTCAACTTCTGGGGCTCAAGCAAGGGCAACAGCAGGAGCCTGTGCTGTTTGAGGAGTATCGTGAACTCCCCTGACCCACAACTCAAGAGAAGTTTCGATGTGCAATTTAAGTTTTAGTAATGTATCTTTTTCATATGTGGGTGCTCTTGCATTAGGGGCATAGATATTCAGGATTTAGACTTCATCTTGATGAATTGTTCCTGTTATGAGTATAAAGTGTCCTTTTTCATCTCTTCTGATTGATTTTAGTTTGTGATCAATTTTGTTAGATATTAGCATAGCCACACCTGCTTGTTTTTTAGGTCCATTTGATTGGAAAACCTTTTCCTAACCCTTTACTCTCAGTTAGTGTGTGTCTTTGAGGTTGAGGTGTTTTTCTTGTACACAGCAGAAGGCTGGATCCTGTTTTCATATCCATTCTCTTATCCTGTGTCTTTTTATAGGTGAATTGAGTCCATTGATATTAAACGATACTAATGACCAGAAGTTGTCTACTTCAGTTGTTTTGCGGTAGAATTTATGTGTTTCCCTTCTTTGGGTTATGCTGGTGGAGTGTTATCAGATGTCTGTGTTATTGTGGGTGTAGTTGGCTTCCTTGGGTTGAGGTTTTCCTTCTAATACTTTCTGTAAGGCTGGGTTTGTGGATATGTATTGTTTAAATCTGTTTTTGTCATGAAATATCTTGTTTTCTCCATCGATGGTGAAAGAAAGTTTTGCTGGGTATAGTAGTCTAGGTTTGCATCCATGGTCTCTTAGTGTCTGCAGTGCATCTATCCAGGACCTTCTGGCTTTCATGGTTTCCATTGAGAAGTCAGGTGTAATTCTGATAAGTTTACCTTTACATGTTATTTGACCTTTTTCCTTTACAGCTCTTAATATTCTTTCTTTATTCTTTATGTTTTGTGTTTGACTATTATATGATGAGGGGATTTTTTTTGTTCCAGTCTATTTGGTGTCCAGTAAGCTTCTTCTTTTTTTAACAAGAACAATATTTTTCCAAGTTTAAAAACTGATCCCGCAAGAGAAAACAGGCTTTTGCTTTCCTGTGTTAAAATACTTCTTTACCCACACTAAACTTCGTAGTGATAGAATTTCTTAACCCTTTCTTTCTATTAATGTTATTAATGAAATAGGTTTATTGGTGTGAAATCCTCAGCTGTACTTCTAAAGTCAAGACTCTCAGTCCTGGTGGCTCATTAGAATCCTCCAAGGAACTTTATCAAAATACCTATTACAGGGTTTACCTCAACCCAATTAAATGAGAATCACTCAGGGGAATGTAGGCATCTAGTTTTTTTCCCATGATATTTATTGGGCTCTACATTTTTCTCTGATCCCTTCCCTGCCTCTCCCCCTCCCCACTTCAATACTCCCCCAAGGTCCCCATGCTCCCAATTTACTCAGGAGAGCTTCTCTTTTATACTTTCTACTTCCCATGTAGATTATATCTATGTGAGTCTCTCTGAGTGTCCATATTGTTATCTAAGTTCTCTGGGATTGTGGTTTGTAGGCTGGCTTTCTTTACTTTATGTTTAAATACCACCTATGAGCGAGTACATGTGATAATTGTCTTTCTGCATCTGGGCTACCTCACTCAAAATAATGTTTTCTAGCTCCATCCATTTTCCTGCAAAATTCAAGCTGTCGTTATTTTTTTCTGCTGTGTAGTACTTCATGGTGTAAATGTACATTTTTTTATCCATTCTTCAATCGAGGGGCATTTAGGTTGTTTCCAGGTTCTGGATATGACAAACAAAGCTGCTATGAACATCGTTGAGCACATGTCCTTGTGGCACAATTGAACATCCTTTGGATATATACCCAAAAGTGGTATTATTGGGTCTTGAGAAAGATTGTTTCTTATTTTTCTGAGAAATCGCCACACTGACATCCAAAGGGGTTGTACCAGCTTGCATTCCTACCAGCAATGCAGACGTGTTCCCTTTTCCCCACAACCTCTCCAGCATAAGTTGTCATCAGTGTTTTTGATCTTGGACATTCTTACAGGTGTTGTTGTTTTGATTTGCATTTCTCTGATGACTAAGGATGTTGAACATTTCCTTAAGTGTCTTTCAGTCATTTAAGATTCTTCTGCTGAGAGTTCTCTGTTTAGGTCTGTACTCCATTTTTTTATTGGATTATGTGATCTTTTGGTGTCTAGTTTATTGAGTTCTTTGTATATTTTGGAGATCAGACCTCTGTCTGATGTGGGGTTAGTGAAGATCTTTTCCCCATTCTGTAGGCTGTCATTTTGTCTTGTTAACCATGTCCTTTGCTTTACAGAAGCTTTTCAATTTCAGGAGGTCCTGTTTATTAATTGTTTCTCTCAGTGTCTGTGCTGCTGGCATTCTATTTAGGAAGTGGTTCCCTGTGCTAATGCATTCAAGTGTACTTCCCACTTTCTCTTCTATAAGGTTCAGTGTGGCTGGCTTTATGTTGAGGTCTTTAATCCGTTTGGACTTGAGCTTGTGCATGGTGATAAATATGGGTCTATTTTCATTTTTCTACATGTTGATATCCAGTTATGCCAGCACCACTTGCTAAATTTGATTTCTTTTTTTCTCTTTGATATTTTTTTGTGTCTTATTATTAGGTGTTCTAAGATGTGTGGATTGATATCCGGGTCTTCTATTCAGTTCCATTGGTCCTCCTGTCTGTCCTTATGCCAGTATCAGGCTGTTTTCAGTACTGTAGCTCTGTAGTAGAGTTTGAAGTCAGGGATTGTGATGCCTCCAGAAGTTCTTTTATTGCCCAGGATTGTTTTGGCTATCCTGGGTTTTTGCTTTTCCAAATGAAGTTGAGTACCGTTCTTTCAAGGTCTTTGAAGAATTTTGCTGGGATTTTGATGGGCACCTGTAAGCTTCTTAAACCTTAATAGGGATATCCTTCTTTAGTTTGGGAAATTTTCTTCTATGATTTTGTTGAGTATATTTTCTGTGCCTTTGAGCTGGAGTTCTTCTCCTTCTTCTACCCTTATTATTCTCAGGTTTGCTCTTTTCATGATGTCCCAGATTTAAACACTGCCTGGCCCATTAGTGCTAGCCTCTTATTGGCTAGCTCTCACATCTTGATTCAACCCATTTCTAATAATCTGTATGTCACCATGAGCTCGTGGCTTACCGGGAAAGATTCAGCATGTCTGACCTGGCAGCTTCATGGTGGGTGGCCCTTTCTGACTCTGCCTTCTTCCTCACAAAATTTTGTTCTGTCTATTCCACCCACCTAATTTTTGGTCCTATCAAAAGGCCAAGGCAGTCTCTTTATTTAACCAATGAAAGTAACACATAGACAGAAGACCCTCCTACACCAATTACCTCTATTTCAGTCTTGAACTGTTTCCTTTACCAGTTTGATTGCTTTTTCCTGGTTTTCTTGGGTATCTTTGAGGGATTTATTAATTTCTTCCAACTTTTTGTTTGTCGTCTCTTCCTTAGGGAAATTTTTCACTTCCTCTTTAAAGGTCTCCATCATTTTCATAAAGTTATGTTTAAAGTCATTTTCTTCTACTTCTTGATGATCAATTGATCTACTTCATGATCAAGTCTTCCTGTTGTGTGACTGCTGGGTTCTAGTGTTTCCATTACTTTTTAGGATGTTGGAAGAATTCTTGCATTGGCACCTACCCATCTCTTTCTTCAAATGAGGCTGGCAGTGTATTGGCGTCTTGGTCCAATCCTTGCTGTGGCTGTCTAAGTACTTGAGAGTTTTTCTTGGTCTGCCCTCTCTTAGGTCCCCTCAGTATTAGAGCAAACTGTGTTTCAGGGTTCCACAGAGCTCACAGGCAGGCGAACAGGTGAGTTTGGGGGTGGGGTAGATTGGAGAATAGCCCAGCTGCAGGAAAACTTCCTGCTGCCTGGCTAGAAAAGCCTAGGGAGTTGGGGAGGAGTCCCTGGGTTTTGTCCCACTAGGGAGGTCGCAGAGAGTTGGGCATCCAGCCGTCCAGTACTGTGGCTGTTGGCTCACCTCCCAGGTCCCCTCAATATTGCAGCAAGCTGTGTTTCAGTGTTCCACAGACCTCGCAGGTGAAAAGATGGGTTTGGGAGCAGGGTGGGTTGGGGGATAGCCCAGCCACAGGAAAATTCCCTGCTGGCTAGCTAGAAAAGCTGAGGGAATTGGGGAGGGCCCCTGGGTTTTGTTCCACTGGGGAGGTCCCAAAAGTGCGATGTCTGTCCGGCCCTGTTGCCACTGACTCACCTCAGTATTGGAGCAACTGGACATCTCTTTTCAATTCAGTCTTTTCTGTTCCTCCTCATTTCCTCATTATATAATAACTATGCAAAGAGACCAGAATCCTTGTGGACCTACAGGCAATTCAGTAAAGGGTTCACATAAGGTCAAGGACCCTGCTAGAAGTGCTGCTTCTTTTAAGTCCTTTTAGGGTTGCCATCATGTATGAGTATCATTTTAACGAAAATAAAGGAATATAAAGGAGACTTTAAACTGATAGTAAAGGTTGCAGTAGGTGAGATCACATAGTAATTGGAGTCTGAATTAGAGCAAGTAGTGCAAGGAAATTCCTAGGAGGAAGTGAAGTGTGAGAAAGAGACCTCGTTATATCCAGGTCATTAGGGGAAGCAGCAGCCAAGAGAAGAGAAGACAGGCAACGCCGGCTCTGACGTGGGTCAGGGTCAGGGTCCTGCTTTCCTGAACCAGCAAACACCAAGGCTTTGCCCTGCTTTATTAATAATTACAATTTCTCTCTTCTCTGCTCCATTCAGATTCTATTGTATGAAACCATGGATTGGGCCTCCAGCATTGATGCATTCTTTAAGAATTTTAAGAGGGAAAGCCAAATCCTCTCTGAGGAAAACATCATCTTGATTAAATCCTACACTGAGACAAATAGGCTCCAGAAAGCACTTTCTGTAATCCACAATGCACTGAGAGACATCGAGAATGCACCTCTGAACATTGCTGTGACAGGGGAGACAGGGACAGGGAAGTCCACGTTCATCAATGCCCTGAGAGGTTTGGGGCAGGAAGATGTAGGTGCAGCCCCCACTGGGGTGACAGAGACAACCTGGGAAAGAATTCCATACCTGCACCCAAAGCTTCCCCAGGTGACACTATGGGACCTGCCTGGCATTGGGTCCACTTCCTTCCCACCAGAAAACTACCTAACAGAAATGAAGTTTGGTCAATATGACTTCTTTATTATCATCTCGGCTACACGCTTCAAAGAAAATGATGCCCAGCTAGCCAAAGCCATCACCAAGATGAATATGAATTTCTACTTTGTCCGAACCAAGATAGATATTGACATAGATAATGAACAGAAGAGTAAACCTAAGACTTTCAATAAGGAGAATGTCCTGACAAAAATCCAAGGTGATTGTTCAAGGCATCTCCAGCAGGCTCTCTCCAGTGAGCCTCGAATCTTCTTAGTCTCTAGCTTTGATGTGTCCGACTTTGACTTCCCAGAGCTGCAGAACACCCTACTGAGAGAGCTCCCAGCCCACAAGCGCCATGTCTTCATGCTGTCCTTGAACAGTGTTACTGAAGAAATCATTAACCTCAAGAGAGATTCCCTGAAGCAGAAAGTCTTCCTAGAGGCCCTGAAGGTTGGAGTACTGGCTGCCATTCCACTTGGCGGCATGATTATGAATGACATTGAGAACCTGGATGAAACGTTCAATCTCTACAAGTCTTACTTTGGCCTGGATGATGCCTCACTGAAAAACATTGCCAAGAAATTTAACACACCTGTCAATACACTCAAGGCACGACTTCGGTTTCCCCATTTATTTACACAGAACGATGAGTCCTTAGAGGACAAACTGCGGAAATATATCCATCACATTTCCTCAGTTACTGGTGGTCCTGTTGCTGCCGGCATTTATTTCAAAAAGTCTTACTATTTGCAGAATCTCTTTATTGATGCTGCAGCAAATGATGCCATAGCTCTTCTTAATATGAAAGATCTTTTAGAAAACAAGGAGGAACCATATATATCTCAGCCTCCCGATTACTGGGAATGATGGGGAAATGAGGCACAATTTCCAATCAGTGTTTACTTTTGGCGTTGCTTTGGACACTGGAACATAATCTACACCTGAGAAACAAACCTTGTCTGAGGAGTGCCAAAGGGCTCATCCTTTTCCTGTTCTGGAGTTAGAAGATCCATGTGGCAAGTGTTCAAATGTGCTGGAGTAGCAAAACCGTCAGCAACATTGAGCAAATGCCTGAGGAAACCTCCTTTCCATTAAAATAGTGTGTGAAGCACACATGAAAATATTGACTTGATTTGTGGTTTTGTGGTCTAATGACTCCTGGATTTTTTTCCCCCTGTGAAAGTCTTCACACAGTTCTGTGTTCTCATAGCCAGGTCTGCTTTGTCACTTTGCTTTGAGGTCATCACTGGTGCCCAACACTGTGTAGATGAACACACCTAGGTAAGAGGTGTGAGACCCACACAGTAGTCACATGACAAATGGAAACGGTTACTATTAGCCAAGCTCCATCCAGGAGGAGCTTGGGGGGGGGGGGAAGCATGAGCAAACATCTGTAGGTCCAGTCAGTGCACACAAATCAAGATAGATGTCCTAGCCTTCCCTGGCCAATCTGAACAGCTGGAAAGTCACACAGTGTGAATGGCAACTGGAACTCTAATTATGAACTGTCTCTCCTTGTTATTTCACTCATTAGAAAAAACGAAAATCCCATTTGACCGTTTTTCTCTAGTCTCCCGTGGGTACTGTTGGGACTTGCTCTCCCTTGACTGGGCCAGGATGTGGAGCTGTTGACAACTGCTTTGCCCCACTACCCTCCTGACCGTTCATGTTGATTATGGATTTTCTGATAGCACGGCAGAATGTGAGATGGGCCTGAAAACGCTGTGAAAGGTTGTCTTGATTCTTTTATTTTGTTCTATCTCATTATGTTATCTATCACTGATCCAGGAAGAACCGCCTTTTTTGGACATAATTCTTCATTGGTTCTTCGGGAATTTCACATCATGCACCCCAATCTGTCTCGACTCCCAGTCCCATGGTATCTGCCCCCACTCCTACAGCGTCCCCCACAAAAGAAACACCCGCAAATTAATTAAGAACAAAACAAAACAGAAAAACAAGTAAAATAAAAAAGAAAAGAAAAGAAAAACGGTCCTTCTCCATGTTTCCCATCCCTCTATAACCTCTTCATTTGACCTCGTGGCACTGGGAGCCATGCTGTCCCACAGTATACCCTTTTGTTCAATCACTCTACCCAAAGATGACCATAGTAATGAGTCATTGGTCTGATGCAAGGCCTCTGGCACACCAGCATCCCTGGACCCTCACAGAACCTCCTCTTGGTTGTCCTGATGTTGCCCCAAGTCTTGGAGAACCTGTGACTATTGTTCTGCAGGACCAGTCCCCTCCCATGCTCCAGCAAGTATCATGGGGTAGATGTAAGGGTGGGCCAACCCAAGGCCCAGGATCTGGGCCTGGGTGGTTACTGAGTTCCTCAGTCAGGGCTTCTGGGACTTCCCCCTTCAAGAGAGGTGTGGAGCAAGGTCTCCTAGGCCTGTGTCACCAGGGCTAGCTCTGCCATGCTCACAGTGTGGGGTGAGGCAATCCCTCTCCTGAGTGCAGAGGGAGCTCTCCCATGAGAAGCAGCACCAGCTCTCCTGCTGCAGTGTCCAGTAAGGGACAGGGACAGTGAGAGGAGGGACCGGCTTAACAAGACCCTCAGAATTCAACATGCAACAACCCCCTGTGATAACATGGACCATGGACATCATGGACATCAACACAGACCCCAGATGCAGCAGGAACATGGCCCATACATAGCCTTCAGCAGCAGCTCAGGCTGTGTGCCACCTTGGCCCCAGTGGCAGCACAGGCCACCCAGATCAGTGTGGTCCCGGTGGCGGCATGCCCCTCAGACACCAACATGATCTCAGAGAGCTGACCAGACCCTGGGCATCTGCACAGACTGCAGTGGTAACAGGAGCCACAGCTGTCTACTCAGACCCTGGCTGTTGTAGGGCCGTTGACCCAGATATAGCCCGTGGCAGCAGCCCCAGGTAACACCATGGACGGGCGTGGTAGCACAATTGACTCAAATTGGCATGGCCCAGCGGTGGCAGGGCCCTCAGACACCAGTATTGCCACAGGTTGAGGCCTAGACCCTGGACATCTGTGTGGTCTTTGGTGGCAAAATGGATCATGGACGTCAACACAGACCCTGGCTGTGGAAGGACAATGGACCCAGACATGAGCCTAGGCAGGAGCCCGGGCCCCAACACCACCCTGGCCCTGGGTGACAAGCAGGCCACCCACATCAGCCTGTTCCTCACCACCTCATTTCTTCAGTTCTGCCTCTTTCCACGGCATGTGAACCATTCTGTTTCTCTTTCTCTCCCATCTCACTATCATATATGTGCCCATTATAATGGCATGTGTGAGCCTTCAGCAAGCCTAGCCCACGAGGACCCAGGATGGCCTGTGGGTATTGCCGGCCTGTCTGAGCCGAGCAGCACTAGGCAGGCCTGTGGATGCCTTGAGCCAGTCTGAACTGTGGAAGGCCATCTTAGTGTGAGGCAGGGTCCTGCTTCCAAGACAGAGGATTCGGGACTGCATAAAGCCGGCAAGGGTTGTTGAACATGAATGCTTTCTACCCCTCTCTGCTTCTGGACTGTGCTTGCAACAGGCCCAGCTCTCTCAGGCCTCTACCGCTGTGACCTCCCCACTGAGGGCACTACAAACTTGAACTGTGACCTGAGAGAAGCCCTGGCTGCCTTACATTGCTTTGCAGGACATTTTGTCACAGCCACAGAGAAGAAACTCAGGTAAACACCTGACTGGACTAATGGTTAAAGCCCCTGTGGAATTTCTATATTGATAGTTTTCCCAGCAGACGAGTAGAGAGGCAGGCATGGCATCCCAGGGGCAGAAAATAAAGCACATGTT